GCAATCCAGTTCGACTTCCCATCAAATTCGGGCAATTTAATTTTCGGCAATTCAACATTCGCTTTCTTTTTTGCGTCGTTTGCAATGTCGTTCAACTTGCCACACACTTGTACGTATTGTTCTTGCACTTGTAAAAAGTCAATGTCTTGTAAATGCACTTTGTTACTCGACACTGCTAATGCTCTAAATGCAATGCGAAACTCGGCCCAAATTTGCTTTAAATTTTCAGTTTGTGCACTTGCAATTCCAGCCGATTCATCACTATTCACTTTTTCAGCTGACTGTAATGACGATTTTAATTCATTATACTGAAACTTTAACGCACTAACTTCCGCCGGTTCATCGTCGATCACTTCAATAAGATCATTGTTTTCGCCTTCAATTTGCTCTTGTTGTAATCTAATGATACTTAGGTCCCATACACCGTCTTCACCGTCTTCACCGTCATTGCTTTCAACCGACACCAATTGTTTAAACTTGCTTAACTGGGTCTGCAACTCGGAACGATGCCTAATGTATTCCGATTTTGCGTTCTCATATGATTTCGATACAAAATAAGGCTGGTTTTCACACTCGGCAGTATCCGCTTTTTCTATTTCGGTGTTAACTTTATCGAAGTCTATCCACCATTTTTCCAAAATATCCAACTTTTTCTGAAAATATTCCGGAACCGCTTTGCGCACTTTTGGATCTTTATTGTAATTTTCCAAAATAAGCGCGAATTGCTTGAGGCTTCGTTTCTGCTTTTGTAATAAACTTTGCACTTCAGCCATTTCAACTCAATTCACGACTGATTCGAAGGACCAAATGAATAATATATTTAATTTACCTATTATCCAATGAGCTGTGGATTAATAATAATATAAAAACACAACAGGTTTGGGTTACTTTGTAATTGCAACTGTTTTAATAAGAATGAATTGTTTGTCAAATCGGTCATTATGCTGATGCATGAATTATAATGTTTGAATGAATGAATTAATTGTTTGTATGTATTGAATTGTATGATATATATTATATTGTATGCATTCTTTTGTGTACGGTTCGTTACACAGAGTGCATAACTCATTTTGAGGGGTAAAGCCTCTACTAACACCGTAAGTGCGAGCAAGCGTACTCGAATACTTGTTTTTGTTTACTGACTGTCGACAAGATACACACGCAACGATGTTGACTATAGTGCATATACTGTATATCGTATAGTGTACACTACACTCGACACTGTTGTGTATCATGCGCAGTATAGCTTGACAGACAACATAAGACATGTGCACAAAGGAACACTGAGATATCATATATGATAAAATAAATTGAGTGCATAAAATATTTTATAAAATTATAAATCTAAATTTCACAAATTTCTTCACCAAAAATTCGGTGCATTTTGACAATCAACCAATACAACATTTTCGACATATCGAAACAACAAATATCATATTTGATATTTTCTATAATTCTTTGAAAACCATTGAAATCAAAAGAAGCACTAGAATCACATCTCTTAACTCGAATCAAATTGAAATGCTTAAATTAACTACTTTAAAAATATTTCAATATTTTTCATTTTTCTTCTAATAAAATGCAAGCGTGTTTGTCTATTCATAAGCGCCATCTATTGCGAATTTGTACCATTTTTTGTTATGAGGGACTGGCGCTGATGTCAAGGTTTTTCACGTCGCCCCCATGCGTCGGTATGAACTCCAATACATTTTTTGTTATTAGTGCTGCTTCTTCTTTTTCTCACTATGGGCGCAACCATTTTCAAGCTAAAAGTCAAATGGATGCGTTTAATGAAACGTCAAAATGCGCGTATGGCTAATTTGTTCTAAACGTGTATCTGTAGTTGAGTTTGAAGTTAATGTGTGAATAATCAAATAAATAGTACTTTTTGTATTAAAAATAAAAATAAAAATAAAAGAATAAAATTAGCTGTGTAAAATTTTATCGGCGCCTATACAAGTCGATTCAAAAAAACTGTAAATGGAATACTGCACAATAAGCCAAGAAAACGAATAATTTTATCGGCACAGAATATTTTTGCAGCCGACAGAAATATCTTTTGCCACAATATTACTATTAGTTGCAAACAAATTATTAAACATATTTTTCGACTTTACTTTATTTTATTTTTTCTTACCTAGAATAACTGTGATCCAGAAATATATGATTTCTTTCGTCCTGCATTGTATTCACAAACTTTGTTCACAAGCAAATGTTTTCATTTCAACATTGCGTGTGGTACTATTTAGTACTTTGCATTTTTGATATTCCATTAAACGCACTTATTTAAAAATGAATATGCCAATATGGCTGCACCCATAGTGTAAATAAGAAGAAGCAGTGTCTATTTAGCAACTGCATACCGGCGCCCCCATGGTATCTTTAAACTGGTCTGACAAAGGACGTTCTCTATATCTGTGGAATAGTGGCAGATTCTAGTGATTCCTTTAACTCTCCGTTGTACACATGTCCGGCGAGTCACATTCGTAACACATGAGTCCTTCCCATCGGAAATACGAGAAAAATCGATTGGCAGTTTTTGATATAATATTCGAATATATTTATGTCATATTTCACCCAAATAATGGGGTCCTTGGAGCTATCAAGGATCATATCTAGCACCATATCAATCTGGGAATTTTTTTTTTGCCCCAAATGTCATATCGTGAACCCCTCTACCACATGCGGCATTTTGAAATAATAAATCTGGCCAATCCGCGGATGTTTACTCATGAGAGAATGCAAATTACATCATTTTTCATATAAAATGTATGTGGGTCTGGCCAGACTCATGTGTTACTAATACGATGTTTACACCAACACATCCTTATAAAAAATCCTTGTGTCCTTTTTCGTCCTGATTAGATTGATAGCCAATTAAATTTTAGGAAGCTACACGGAATTTCAAGTCGCTAGCTTATTTAAAAATATATTTAAATTGCAATTAAAATCAAAAAAGGTCTGGCCAGACCTATGTGTACAACGGAGGGTTAAAAATGTAGTAATTGGTCCTTTCAAAGAAATCATACAGCGCTTTATGAATCTGTTTGGAATTTCATCTGGACCACAGACAAGGTCATGTTCTTCTACAAGCTCCTCAGTTATTCCGATCGTTGAAATTCCCGCACAAATATCTCGTATTTTCTCGATTTCAGTGTGGTAATATCGTAGATCACATTCTAAAGAGCTATATGCAGTGGCAAAGTGTTTAGCAAAAGAACCTGCGAATGTTGATTGTTCACTAGCTTTTATATCCAAATAAGTCATGCATAAATTTATGTCAGTGGCGGTATTCCAGCCAAATAATTCAGATGGTAATTGTTGTTTATCGGAATTTAAAATTAATTAATTAAATTAAAAGAATTTGGACATAAGTTTGTTAATGTAGCTTTACGGAATGCAGAAAATAAAAACGCAGAAACACTAAAATGCAGAAAAATAAACGCAGAAAAAATAATGCAGGAAAAAAAACGCAGAAAGGCTGCATTTTTGGTTTTCTGTGTTTATTTTTATGCGTTTTTGTTTTCTGCATTTTTGATTTCTGAGTTTTACTTTTCCGCACACACCTAGTATGTAAGATAAAGTATTGGAATCGGTCGAAAAATTAACACCCATCAAAAACGTGTTTTCTGGGTGCTTTCGGGGCCAGGGATCACGAATCTAGCGTTTTTCCGATGTCCGAATGTATGTGCGTACCCTCTGCCCTGTATCCTGTACGCTGTACGCAAAAATTTGTTAACACGATAACTTTCAAACCAGAAAAGTAATTCAAAATCTGACTTCATAGGATGATTTATGGTGCCGAGGAATAGAAATCATTAGATTTTGAGCGACTTTGGTTGATAGAGTGACGAGTCATGTCTGGTGTGATGCCCATGGGCATCCATGGGAAAAATTCAATTTTTCCTCCAAAAGTGATATTTAATGTATTCTTAAACCATGGGGCGAATCACGCTAGTAAATACTAGAAAAACTAGTAAATCTAGTGCGAATAATGACGTCACAAATGAAGCCAACTTCACACCAAAGGCCATATAATTTATATGAAAAATTACTGAGAGCCAACTTCACGCACTAGAATTTTCTAGTTTTCTAGTGAAATCTCATTAAAAACTAGATACACTAGAATTTCGTGATTGACCCCATGTCTTAAACACTCAAAAATATGTATTGGGGGGTTTTTGGGTACGAGGAAACCGAATATGATATGTTAGTTTTGCGATACAAATATATTTCGACACACTTTTCATACAAAAATTTCAAAAAATTTGGATTTTTGTATGAAAGCCATGTCTGTATGATATCGTAATGAGCTGAAACTTTGCACAGGCTATTTTTTTCACACAAAAATAACATTTCGAGAGTTTGAATGGATGTCAGTGCATATAAAGGGTACCTCTCGAACAAAATTTTGGATTTTTTGCTCAAAAACGAAAATTTTGTATGGAAGGTACCACTCAATTGTATTGAAATTTCTTCAAACTTTCAGAATGTTAGCTTTTTGTGAAAAAAATACTCTGTGCAAAGTTTCACGTCATTACGATATCATACAGGCATTGAAAAGTCTATCAAAAATTATTTGTATCGCAAAACTTATATCAGATTCACTTTTCTCATGAATTCATTTTTACGGTGAAATATACCTAATAAATGCATGTTGAGGATCACAGTGTGGAAAGACATTTTATTTTTTCTGCATTATTTTTTCTGTGTTTATTGTTCTGTGTTTATTTTTCTGCGTTTTAGTGTTTCTGCGTTTTTATTTTCTATTTTTCGTGAAGGAACCATTTGGTTATTATAGCTTAGTTCCAAAAATTGTAAATACATGTATTTTCTTTATTCACTCTCTCATACAGGAAACGAGACATTACATAAACCCATAAACATTATTTATCGTTTTTACCGCAAAACATTACTTGCCCCAAATAGTCAAACAATTATTGAACAATAAAAATGTTATTTTCAAGTGCTTTACATTTCCTCATAGAGTATGCTCTTGATTTTAACTTTTAGCATTTTTTCAGATGAAATTGTATAATCGGAACTTCGCAGTTGGTGACCGAATAGAATACATGGGGTGGATTAATGAAGGTGTAATTAATAATAACATATCATGGCAAACGTACAAGCCAAGATTCTTGGTACTAAAGGGAACGGAAGTGATGTTTTTTGACTCCCCACCGGTAATCAATATGTATTTATATATGTATATATCAGGTTGGGTCAATTTTTTTGCATCAAAGGCTCATCGTGATTTTTGCCCAAGGAACCATAGATCCAAAATGTATTTCGAGTCTGCCTTTTCTAAACAGTGACCGGTTCGCGCATATTTCTATGTTTGCCTAAATACGCTAGGTAGCATAGATATGCCAAGCATAGCCGCAAACGCAACCGATGCATCGCCGTTCACTCTATATGAACAATGCACATGTTCGTTTATGCAGACGACCGTGCGCATACAATATAGCTCGAATCGAATAGCGACGGGTGCGTTGCGGCTTGCGTCTCCGCTATGCTTAGCATAGCTATCAGGCATAGAAATATGCGCGAACCGGTCACTGTTTCTAAATAGATATTTTCCAAAATATTTAAAAATCGACTTAGATACGTATGCATTAAAAAGGTAAAAAACATTATTTTTTCTCTACATTAGTATATGCGGGAGTTTTTGGGGTCGAGGAATCCATTTTTGACATTTATTTTGCGATAAAGTTAGTTTTGATACGATTTTCATCTATTACCGAAACGTTTGAAACTTCACGCTTTTGTATAGTTTTTGAACTTTCGCATACAATACTCACATAAAATATCGTTTTTGTATATTCTCTTTTGAGCTGTTCATCTTCATTTATGCTTTGAAGAAGATCCGCATAAAAGAGAATATACAAAAACGATATTTTGTATGAAAATCATAAGGACAAATACAATTTATGCGGCACGTAATCTAGTTTTACTTGCATATCTTTTCTGTGTACACTAGGGTGGCCTAAATCTCACTATCTGAACGGATTGTTGTTTCCCGACCGGTTTTGTTAATTTTGGTCCAAAACTAGGTAACTGGCATCATTACATTGTTTAAAGGTTGAAAAAACGACCCGACCCCGACCATATCAAAAATACCTTTTTATGCCCGTTTTTTTACTTTCAAACGAAAAAAAAGTGTATATTGAGGTCAAATACTATGAGACTATGGGGTATTTTGTGAAAATTGGCTCGGAGGGCCTTTTTAATGCAATATCTAAGTCGATTTTTAAATACTTTGGAAAATATCTACATAGAAAAATAGGCAGACTCGAAATTCATTTTAGAGCTATGGTTCCTTGGGTAAATTTTCTTGAAATGATCCATAGAATCAAAATCGCAATGAGCCCTTGTAGGTTTTTTCGGCCCCGTTCAAATTGACTCACCTTATATATATATTTTGACATTTGAATTAGAAATTATAATCTTAAATAATAATAATAACTGCACCGAACAGCGTTCCTTCGATTTGGTGGTTTATTGAAAATAATTTAATTAAATAAATATAATACAATTTGATTTTTATCAAGCATTTTTGAGAGAGAAAATGAAAAATTATTGTTTCTTTCCCTTCATGAAAATAATAATATAAATTTCATAAATCAATTTTCCAACTGCTAAAAATTTCTACAATCCATATTGGATTTGGATTGGATTTGTACGGGGGCATACTAGGTCTTCTTTTCAGTAATATCCATAGTTTCTCGTTGCTCAGGTTAAATTACCTATTGCAAGACGCCCGTTTGAGTTATGATGCTACTAAGTCTAGCCGGCAGTCGCCGGGGTTCCATCTGTTCGGCACAGTCGCCCTTGCTGTTCAGCATGGTCTTCAGCGGCCCTTGCTGTTCGGCAGGGCCCTTCTGTGACCATAGCTGTTCGGCAGGGCCTAGACCATTGCTTCACTTAGGACTCAACTCACTGCAGTTGTTGTGAACACTCATAACTCTACCATACTCCAGATGGCGCTGGGTTCCTCTATTCAATGTAGGAATGCTACCACCACTGATTTACCGGTATAATCACCAGTAGTTCAGCACTACCTTTTTACGGTTGACGTATTGGATATTTCACATATCCAAGACACCAACCTAACGTAAAGGCACTCCATTTTACGTGTGTCTATGCTGAACCCATTATTCGTTGTGCACACACACGGGACCGACGGCTTTAAGTGTCCTCCGAAGCACTCCACAAGTCCGAGACTCGGCCCAAATTTCTCCTCATTAAACCACTGATAATCCCTGAGCGAATCACGGTGGAAAAATACCGGAGAAAATTTGACCGAGAATCGAACTCGTGTCCTCATGCTCACAAACCTGGCACGCTAACCACAACAATTACAATCCATAACAAATATCTTGTATTTATCTGCTTTGCTTTAAATAGTTTTCTGTTCTCAGTTTGACTGTTGATAAATTTACTTCTAAATCAATTAAATTTTTATCACTGTTTGTCATTTTTTTGGTATAAAAATCGTTGAATGATGTAAGCATATAATTTATTGGTTCTATTTTGTGTCATATCAGTTCTCCTAATTGGTAAATCAAAGTACATGTAACAGAAGAAACACACAGTCCATGTCCACGCTAGTGGACATAAACGATTTGAACCGTCAATGTGAACTAGATCAAGTATAGAACTTTACATAGGATCATATACGATGAATATGGATTACAAAGTCTGTTTCAAAATACCGTCACCAATGTCGACACCATTTGACATCAAAATTTCGACAGTATAAATATGTGTTATTGTTGTTGTCGTTTCATTACTGTGTTCAGATCCATACTCAATAATCGGTGATATAAATGTAAATGAAAGGCGTTTTAACGTCCATGCGTCGACAAAATCCCTGTTGTTGAATTTTAACCAAGCCAATCTTGATTTTGCCTTAGCCACAACATGCTCGATGTGTGATTTGAAATTCATCTTCACATCAAGCAATACTCCCAAGTCCTTCATTACTTCAACTCTTTCAATTTGCACGCCATCAACGTTGATATTATATTCATATTTCATTGATCCACGATGATATGATATTATTTTTGTTTTGTTAACGTTTAACTTTAATAAATTTCGCCCATAGTAATTTGCTACACGATCTAAATCCCTTTGAAGATGAATGCAGTCATCTTCTGATGTTATACATTTTGAAATTTTGGTATCATCAGCGAATGAGAGGATGCAAGAATTGGTCGCGACGAAAGGTAGATCTATCACAAACATGATGAACAAAGTTGCGCCAATGTTGTTTTATAACAAAATAAATGTTAGATTCTGTTTTCTCGTACCGAAAAATTAATTATTGATAAGTTTACTTCTAAATCAATTATATTTTCATCACTGTTTGACATTTTTTTGGTATAGAAATCGTTGAATGATGTAAGCATATAATTCAATGGCTCATATTTTGTGTAATCAGTTCTCCTAATTGGTAAATAAGACGCTTCTCTCCAACTGCGCTCATCTTATTCTGGACCAGGTGTGCAAAAAGTCATAAAAAATTTGCTCCTCAAAAATGGCCATTTTTTTATTTTGGAATTTTTTTCGTTTATTTTACTTTCGAAACGGACCCAAATCGACTATTGGCAGACACCATTTCTATCATTTCGGATAAGTTTCAGCATTTTTTGATGCACAGTATTCTTCCGACTGGATCGAATATTGAAAAAGTCCCCAAAATTGGGGGGTAGTTGCCTCCCAGCCGATTTTTTATGGTTGGCTTGAATCGATTTTTTTCTTTTTTGCCCTAAGCTATTGAGAAAGGTCCGTTTCATATCGAAACAACTGTGCTCGTATAACATTTTTATCCATTTTGTGGCATTATCATTTTTGCCCCCCGCGAATTATGTTTTTTTCTCCAACTTTCAAAATTTTCCATCGTTGAAAAAAATATGATGCGCACAAACAAATGAAACACTCTTGACTGATTTTGACAATATTTGAATAGGCCTTTCAAATGACGTATCTGTCATTGATCTACTACAACGCAATCGCAAGTGGTGACATCAATTTTAATTCCCATTTTTAATGCATACACCCAATATGTTCTTTATATATTGACTTAGATGGTCCGTGACGATCGAATCAAGAATTTTTGACACTATACACTGAAGAGCGACACCACGGTAATTTTGAACGTTGTTTCTGTCACCGTTTTTGTAAACCGGTCTGACAAAAGTCGTTCAAAAATAGATTTATCAAGCATTGTTTGGTTTCATTGCAGGGGCCAATCACAGCATTGTTAAGAGAATCTCTTGAAACATACACTGTACCACAGATTTGGAGAACGTCTTTTGTTAGACCGGTTTACAAAAACGGTGACAGAAACAACTATTGGGTGTATCGATTAATTTTTACCGTTTTTTGGGTGAAAATCTATATTTATTTGAATAACAAAATGAATGAGTACATTAACCAATGTATTGCCCATCGTTAGCTATGACTTCCGCCCATCTTCTTGGTAGCTTGTCGATTCCGCGTCGAAATAATTCCTCATCTTTTGAGGCTATCCATTAATCGATCCATTTTCGCACTCCTTCAGGATTTCGAAACGATATCTCGGACAAACCCATTTGCATCGATCGAAACAAGTGGTAGTCAGAAGGAGCAAGGTCTGGAGAGTACGCGGGTTGATCAAGCCGATCCCAATCGAAGTCTTGTACTTTTTTTTTAACGATGTCTGCTCGATGTGGCCAGGCATCATCATCGTGAAACACAACTTTGTCTTGTTTAGACGCTATCCGTGGCCGTTTAATCTTCAATGTATGCTCCATTTTGATTAATTGCATGCGGTAGCGTTGGGATGTAACCGTTTCACCTGGTTTTAGCAGCTCATAATACACGACACCTTTTTGATCCCACCAAATGCACAGCATGACCTTCTTGCAATGAATGTCTCGTTTTGACTGCGATAGTCCTGGTTGGCCTGGATCAACATACGCTCCTTTACGTTTGGGGTTGTCGGAATAGACCCACTTTTCATCGCCCGTGGGGAGTTTATACTCATATTCAATTGATTTCATGTGAAATTAAACGGTCTAGCACCATCTGTGGTTTCTAAAAGTTGGGAAATGTAATGAAGCAGTTGGTAAAATTTAATCAACAAATAGTTTATCTTTTAAAAATATGCATCGTACTACATATGGTGAAAAATCCATGCTCTGAGACAGAAATAGTTATACGAATGGATAATCCACACGATTTTTACAGAGTACCAACCTCCAAACCTTTACTGTCAAAAGTTGGGTTTTCTGATCAATTTTCCATTTTTTTGGATTATCATTTCATTCGATGGAGTCTTTTTCTCGTGTTTTTGAACATAGATTGGTTGACGGGTATCAAATCTAATAAATACAGAGATTTGTGAAATAATTCATCACAGCGGACGGCAGTTCGCGCAAGTGACGAACGCACAACGAAGGCACTAGCACTTCGTGCGCTGCCGAAGATCCGAATGTATGGCGACAGCACAATCGATGCGCATCAAATGATGCAAGCATCATTCAATTGCTCGCATAAATGTATGTCTTTCTGAACGCTTGCTCAAAACTAAACTAACACGTGTTATTCTGCGACGGCGATCGTTTTTTCTCAATTCACCAAACACTTTGGGCAAACAAATGGTGGTGTACCAATCAGAATTTGCCGTCCTACGATCCTCTAGTGGAACGGTTGCTACATGTTAACTTATCGCGAAAAAACAGGCGATCTTTTGCTTCGAAGTGCTTCTTGCTCGAACAACTTTCGTTGGGTTATCTTCACTTTGGAAGACCCATACAGTCACCTGTCACGATTTCATACACTACATTTGATGCACCTCGATTGTATTTGTTGAGCATTTCTTTGCACCAATTCACACGAGCTAATTTTTGGTCATCGGTCAATTTATGTGGGATCCAAATGCCAAATGTTCATGCAAAATCGTGTGTATGCTTTTAACAGAAATGCCCAAAGATGCCTCAATCTCACGGTATGTCACATGACGATCTTCCATTATCATGTTTCTGACAGCATCGATGTTTTGTGGAACAACAACTGATTTTGGACGACCTTCATAGGGCTCGTCTTTGAAAAAAAAAAATAAGTAAATGTTTCGATAATTTTTCAAGTTTGGATTGAATATCATTGATAGCCCTGGCGGGGGAACAATTTGAAACAACGAAATGAAGAAAAGAAATAAAATATTTCCGAGAAAATTTGTCGCAATGCATACGAGTCAATCAAACTAAACCAATAAAAAATTAAAATGGCGGATGGTCCAGTTCACATGCTATTTTACGACTCTCGTATGTTTTGAGTTTTAAGTTTTTTAGTTAAGCTATGTTAAATTAAATAAAAAAAAAAATTGGAATCAAAACTCAAAAATGTAAAAAAAAATTATTTGATACTCTGTGTAATATTTGTCACTTTTGTGTAAAATTTGTCATTTTTGCGTAACATTTGTCACTTTTGTGTGCTTCTTTGTAACATTTGTCATGTAAAAAGTGTCAAAATTGTGTAAAATTTGTCACTTTTGGGTAACATTTGGCATTTATGTGTAACAAAAGTTTTCTCCCTATAAAAGTTCATATTTTAATTGTAGTTCAAATTTTTTTAAATTCGTCAATATGGTGATGTTTTGCATCTTTAATTTGAAAATTACTCTCACAAAATTACTGATTCAAATAAAAAATCTCTGAAGAGGTGAAGAACGAGGAACGAAACCAAAATGTGAAACACAAAATTTCTGATATCAATTTTGTGACGAAAATAAATGATAGATAATGTTTCTGTGTACTGTGAATATACATTTTTATGCAACGTTTTGAATGTATTTTGGATATCGCTCTCAGTTTTGTGTTGACGATTTACGTAAAAAAAATCCTAAATTCATATTGATTTTTGCTTCGTCAAATTATTTTCATACATTTCGTACTATGGGTCTGTACTAAACTCATACCAGAAAACTATTTATGTAATTTCTTTTAATCTTGGTTAGTGTTAAACTACTCTCACTTACAGTCGGCTTTCAACGCGACTCGATTTAAGAAGCGCCATCTCTTTCACGCCAGGTTCTCATATATTTTTTTCTTGCAAATAAAATTGCAAAATTGTATAAATTGAATAAGTTTTGCAATAATAATAGCGAAAATAATTAATATAATTTATAATAAATAAAAAAATTGAAAGAACACACAAATATTTTATATTATATGATACACCAAAATAGCTTCACTTCGTGTTGTTTACGTTGTTTCTTTTTACAGGTATGAATGTTTGACAAATACATATTTTCTCCACGTAACCATCTCTACATGGTCAACAAGGCAAAGTCTACAAGGCTACAAGTAATATAAAATATTTGTGTGTTTTTTTTCATTTTTTTTTATTTATTATAAATTCTATTAATTATTTTCGTTATTATTATTGCAAAACTTATTCAATTTATACGATTTTGCAATTTTATTTGCAAGAAAAAAATATATGAGAACCTGGCGTGACAGAGATGGCGCTTCTTAAATCGAGTCGCGTTCAAATACATTGTCAATATACAACGCAAGTGATATTCGGTGTTAAAAAAGAAGAGATTCTTGAAAAAACCGAAAATATAGTGTCTCTCAAACGGAGCAAACCACATTTTGTGAAAATTTGTCTCTATTCAAATAATCGGACGCCTAGGGCCTGTGAACAATAAGAAAACAACAAATTATTAGAACCTCAATCCACCCTCAAGTTACGCCACTGTCAAAAAATGAAAAATCGACAAAAATATGTTAAATAACAAATAGAACTATACATGGGGTCAATCACGAAATTCTAGTGTATCTAGTTTTTAATAAGATTTCACTAGAAATTTAATTTTTCTAAACTTATGTAAAACTCAAATAATATTTTTTCTTTGCCACTTAATAGCTTAGCGTATCATGTCTTGCAAAGCCAACATGTGCTTATAAGGTGTATCAGACCATGTTTCGAGTGATTAAAGAATCTGAAACTGTCGACGCAAGACAGCATTGTTTTTTGCTACAAAGCTCACCACCTCAAAGCTCACCACGCTACTTGAGCGTGGAGACTCGTCAGGAGCTATTGCGGATAGAAAATAGTTGGAATTCTACAATTATTACGAGTGTTATAAAATTAGGTGTAAGTATATATGCAAAAACATAGATAAAAGTGGTAAAAGTTGTACGTATAGTATTTAAGTAAAGGTCGGTGTTGCAACTTATGGGTGCTGACCACACAGCCGCACAGTTTTTTGATCAGGGGGACTTTGGTCTTGAGGGGGGGGGGTATTTATGTGACTACTTTTAAGAGATTTATGAGTTTATTTGTTGTAATACAACAACAATACTATGTAAAAAAAACTCTGTGCTCCACTTTTATATACCCTGCATACAAGTCGGATTTATATTCTGATCCATTCATATGGACGAAAATCATTTTTTGTTTTTATATTTACAACTAGCATGCCTTCGGCTTGCTTCGCTAGCCTCGGCATACTACCCAAGCACCAAATTTGCTTTGTTCACCAGGGGCATTCGCACCGTGCGTCAGTTACGAACACACGAAACAGAATACGGAGCGAGACATAAAGAAAGTAGTGTATGTGCGTATGCGCTTCATTCCTTTTTCAGCTGTTTGCATGGCAAAGGCTGCTAAAAGGGGGAATAACGAATAAGACGCAAGGTACGAAGCGTATATGCAAATACACTACTTTCTTAGTCTCTAGCTCCGTATTCTGTATTTTCGTGTTTTCGTATCTGAAGCACGGTGCAAATGCCCCGGGCGAACAGTGCAATTTGAGTGCTTGGGTAGTTTCTCCCGATATTTCTATATTTTTCTACATATTGGACGGTTACTCGCTCGCTTCGCTCGTAACCTTAACCTTTAATATTAAAATGGAATTTACATTCGTAAGTCTAATTTTTCCGCACTGTTTCCAAAATTTTTCCTTTGCCGAATGAATTTTCATTCCCCAAAAGATATTGAATATGCACTGGTAGTGCAGTACTAAATCAATAACAGTAAAGTTTTTTGGCCAATTAATAGATTATTGACGTATAAGTATTCAAAATATGTGAAGTGTATGTTATACAGAAAAGATAAAATCACCAGAAATGTACCTGTATGATAACACAATGACATGAAAATTTTTACAGGCTATTTTCTTTCAAAAAAAAAAAAACATTCGAAGCAAAATTTCAATACAAATTGAAGGTACCTTCTATACAACGTATTGTACAAACCCCACTTTTTTGGTGACTTTTTCAAATATTGATTGTTTCCCAAAACTAACGTCAGATTCGGTTTTCTCGTACCAAAAAAACCCCTTCACAAATTTCAAAACTTTGATTTACGTCTCTGGGAAAAGATTTATCTAGTTAAACAAAATTTTCGCATACCATACCCCCTATGGGTACATTATGGATACACCGATGAACAAATATCGCTCAAAAACAATACCAGCCTACTTCTTGCAATCCTAATCACCCTGTGCCAAACAAAATGGTGAAAAAAAATTGCGTACAGTACACTTTCGGGAGGTTGCTGTTGAAATGATTAGTTTTTCATGATCGTTTATTTCGAATTTGGTTTTCAATATTCGAGTCTAATTCAACAGCACCAAAATTGAACGATTTTCAGCGATTTTCGACGCTGGATGACCAATGTTAAAAGCAATGGTTGACAATGATGAACCGTGTTAAAACTGTGGTGGATCCGCCGTAAAAACCATGGTGAATCATGTTTTGACATGTTTTACCATGATGGTCGACCTCAAAATCCATGGTAAATCATGTTTTAACAGTTTTAACCATGATGGCCAACCCCGTAAACCATGTTAAATCATGTTTTGTCACTTTTTACCATTATAGCCGACTCGTGAAGCAAAAATAACGGTAAAAATACGGTTTTTGACCATAATGGCCGTGTTGAACCACGATGGCCGACCATGATAGTGCCTATGTTCACCGCCGGGCCGAGAACTTTCCAACGGTACCACTTTCATCCGGATCGGTTGAGGTGTTTGGACGCCAACCCCGGACATACATACATACATACTTTCTGATTTATAGATATAGATATTTTTTAATTACATTTAAATAAAGATTATGTTCCTTGTATTTTATGCGCAGCGAAAAACATTTGCAGTCTTACACCTAAGTCGAAGCGGTGGTTTAACGTTAGATTGGCAATCGGGATTTTCACTCACTGGTTCTGATTCAACAATCGTATGGAAATATAAATTTTCAGGTATGTTTTGAAATGTTTTTTAATTTTATTTTATTAGTGTAAAAATCTCTTTTTTTGCAATAGCATTACGAGGATCATCAGATGATGGGAAGAGCAAGGTACTAACTATTTAATTTAACTACTCACTTCAAAAATCAAAATCATGCACAGAAATCTAGAAATGAATCACTAAAATTCTGCATCATTAGAGTTTCATTTTTTGCTTTCGTCAAAATGTCGTGTCAAAAATTTGTTATTCATTTAACATGGTTATTGAGGTCGGCCAAATATTACATTAAGTAATACGTTTTTTTTGAACACTTAAACCTTTTACTATAAGTTATAAAGCATATAAAGAAAATATTTTAGTCAAGTTTTTGACCAAGAATGACCCTGCATGTACTTTTATCTCATAAAGTTTCAAAAAGATCAGAATCTACTACGCGAAATTGCACACTTACTCTACTGTCAAATACAATTTGCACAAAAATTTCCATTCGTTATGACGTACAAATTGGATTTTACGAAAAAGTGTCTCAAACGGTTTGAGCGGCCAAGTTCAAAACAAATTCTGCATGTGTCTAAAGATGAACCAATCACTCGTCGAACCAATAATCTTTATATTCATACGTACTAACCAGTAAACATCCCCAGTGGATAGATTTTTTTTTTTCAAATTTCCAATTGGATGTGGTAGAGGGGTCCAAAATAACACGTTTGGCATCAAATTTTTTTCCCCAAATTCATTACCCCCTAGATACGCTCCCTTGAAGTGCCAAAAATCCCCTTTTTTGTTATGTACGCTCATCTATATGTTTTAAACGACGCAAAATATTCCAATAATTTCTTCGGCAAAGTTGTAGCCCTTGAAGAGACAAAAAAAAAATTATTACCAAAGGAAGGGTCAATGACCTCTCCTTGGAGGTAAAATTGACCCCAGAAGTAACCCATTATGGCAATGACCAAAATGGGGTCAAAGACCTTCCAAATCCCAAAATGGACCCCATTTTTGGATTCCTCACGAAAAGTTACTCCTAGAAAACCATACCTCCTGAACCCCCAGAGCACCCCTTGTCTCTTCAAGGGCTTCAACTTTGCCGAAGAAATTATTGGAATATTTTGCGTCGTTTAAAACATATAGCTGAGCGTATAGGGATGTTTACTGGTTAGTATGAATATAAAGATTATAGAAAAAGCTAAAAGTACGGTCGTATTCCCAATTTAAGTGCTTAAACCTTTCAAAACTGTCACTGAGTGCCAAATATCGGGTTGGATTTTTTGGTCACTAGATTTAGACACGATCAGCAAAATAAGTTACGAAAAAATACTGAAGGGTTTCAAAAATTGGCTGTTCACTTCGCCTCATAGCATGTTGCATTGAAAAATTCATCATTTTGGACAATCATTTGAGACGTCGACAAACCGAACTTTGATAAAGGGGTGTTTGTATGGTATAATCTTCTTTAGAGCCATTACTCGAAAAATTAATGATGAAACGTAAGATTAAACCTCCATTACTTGCTTTATTATCAACTAAATATTGTTGAAATCGATGGCATTCTTCGAGATCTATGTGATCAAAGACAAAATTGTGCTTTGCAAGCAGAAAAAACCACAATAATGGCTCACTTTTTAAAATATAGCATTTCCATGCAAAAAGAATCATCTATTTAACTTCACAAAAAGACACCAAATCAATTATTTCTCGTCTGTTTTTGGATGTATGTTATGGGCGAAGGTCCAAAATATCTGGCTAGTAAACCCTGAAACGAGCAACAAACTCTCGGAGACTCGGCATAGAGCACAAAAAGTGAAAAAAAATGAATTGTTTTTCTCAATTCTTATGCAGAACTAAATGGTCTATATCATCTGGTGCGACCGAATGTAAAAATTTGCTATTACTCTCACCCAAATCGTAGTTCAATGCTATCTTGCTCACCCTTACATGTATTTTCTTAATGCATGGCATTGTGTTTACAAACAACATTCTATTGAAACACGATAGATGATGACGTAAATTTTTTTAGAGGAGTGTGATGGCAAAATTCCGTAGGGGGTCCCTGGAAAAATCCATAGGGGGTCCCTGACGAAGTGAACAATTTGTTCAAATGAGGATAAAATCGTTTTTTTTTTTTGCTCTTCACTTTTCTGACGAAAAACCTGAGCAAATCGAAAGAATTTTCTCGGCCCAAAAAAAGTCAAGAGCAAAAAAAAGGTCCTCATTTCCAAAATTGTTGAGGGCTCCTAAAAATATTTTAGAGGGGGTAATCCGAACCCTAGGAACCCTCGTCATCAAAACTGAAAGCGATGACCAAAATACATTCACTCTCAATAATTTTCATTCTCTTTATATCTTACACACAACATTCGCAGCAACATTGTGTGTGTGTATATAAGGTATAGAAAAAACAATAATGAAAAAATGAAATCGGAAAATGTAACAAACGTTCATGCATCACGTTGAAATGTATCTGAAAAAAATGATCGAAAGACAAATTCTATATACATGTATGTTCTATGTTAGACAAAAATCTGTGATGTATTCTTCAGATTTCACTTTTTTGGCATGCATATTTCAAATTTCGTTGCTGTATTTACGCTTTTATTCCCACCAAATCAATTAGTGGGAAGGTTTGAGAGTAAGTTGATAGAAATCGACAAATCGCTTGTCCAGAACATGATTTTGAAGGTTCGACGCATACTGAGAAAAATCGAAGACAATGGTCCGTCCAGTGTAAAGTGAATGTGCTATTCGATAGCTTATGAATAAAGGTTTATACGGTAGCCGGCAAATGTTACACAAAACTAACAAATGTTGCACAAAATTTGCAAATGTTACAAAAAAATGACAAATGCTACACAAAAGTGACAAATTTTACATGACAAATATTACCAAAAGTGATAAATGTTACACAATTCTGACAGTTTTTACATGACAAATGTTACACACGTGTGTGACAAATTTTACACAAAGTATCAAATTAGCAAAATAGATGAAATGGTTGGATTGGTGTGTAAAATGCAAATAACGATTTTTTCAAAACAAAAAACTATTTGAGTTTGAATTCCAATTTTTATTTTAATTTCAATTTGAAGCAACGAAATGAAGGAGAGGAAAAAATAAAGTAAATGTTTCGATAATTTTTCAAGTTTGAATTGAATTTCATTGATAGCCCTGGCGGGGGAACAATTTGAAGCAACGAAATGAAGGAGAGAAAAAAAAATATTTTCTAGAAAATTCGTCGCACTGCATACGAATCAATCGAAATACAATAATAAAAAATTAAAATGGCGGATGCTGTTGTCGCAATTAAAATGGTCCAGTTCACATATTATTTTACTACTCTCGTGTGTTTTGAGTTTAAAGTTTTGAAAGAATCGTTATTTGCATTTTACACACCAACCATTTCATCTATTTTGCTAATTTGATACTTTGTGTAACATTTGTCACTTTTGTGTGAAATTTGACATTTTTGTGTAACATTTGTCACACGCTTGTGTAATATTTGTCACTTTTGTGTAACATTTGTCATGTGAAAAGTGTCAAAATTGTGTAAAAACTGTCAGAATTGTGTAGCCTTTGTCATTTTTGTGTAATATTTGTCACTTTTGTGAAATATTTGTCACACGCGTGTGTAACATTTGTCACACGCGTGTGCAACATTTGTCACACGCGTGTGTAACATTTGTCACACGCGTGTGTAACATTTGTCACACGCGTGTGTAACATTTGTCACTGTTGTGTAACATTTGTTATTTTTGTGTAACAAATTTTTTCTCCCGCCCAATCGGTGCTTCTTGGGTTTCTAAATTTTTGTGGTTTTTTGCCAGCGTATAACAACTTGAAGCAGATCTCACGATGGTCTGAAAAGCTTTCTTCTTTTGATACATGCCGGTCCATCGCAAGATGTGATATTGATTGAGATGCGAGTGTAATGTCCAACACTTCGGCTCTGTTTCTCGTGACAAAAGTAGGCGAAATGCCTTTATTCAGGAGTACCAAATCTGTAGTGGCAATATATTCAAGAAGCTGCTCACCCCTTCGGTTAGTATCAGTACTGCCCCAGACCGTATGGTGAGCGTTTGCATCACCTCCCATTAGCAATGGGAGGTTTGTCAATTTTGGCTAAAAAATATATTAAAATAACCATAGGTGTTAATTTTTCTACTAATTAGTAGAATTTTTATTAGTTTATTAGTTTCATCATTTTTATTATTTTATTACTTAGTAGTTCTTAGTAGCCACTAAGAAGTAATAATTATTATTTTACTAGCTACTAACAACTACTAATTATTAGGTCTTAGTAGATTTTTTATTAGAATGTTAATAGAAATTTTATTAAAACGCCTATTGATTCAATAACGATTGGTATTCGCTTACTATTCAATAGGTATCACATAGCAAGTTT